CTTCCTTCTCCTTCCTTCTCCTTCCTTCTCCTTCCTTCTCCTTCCTTCTCCTTCCTTCTGCTTCCTTCTCCTTCCTTCTCCTTCCTTATGCTTCTTCTTCTGCTTCTTATTGTTATTGTGTGTCTTATTCTTCTTTATTATTCTGTCTTCTTCTGTCTTCTTTCGTCTTCGTTCTTCTTTTTCTTTCTTGTGTATTTTTCTTTCTTCGTCTTTCTTATTATTTCTTCTTATTGTTAGTTGTTCTTCTTGTTCTCCTTCTTATCCTTCTCTTCATTCTTCATTTTTCCTTCTTCCTTCTTCCTTCTTCCTTCTTCCTCCTTCCTTATTCCTTTTTCCTTCTTCCTTCTTCCTTCTTCTTTCTTCCTTCTTCTTTCTTCGTTCTCCTCATTCTTCTTATTATTTGTTCCTCTTCCTCTTCCTCTTCTTCTTCTTCTCCTGCTTTTTCTTCTGCTTCTTATTCTTCTTCTTATTATTATTATTCTTCTTCTTCTTCTGCTTATGTTTCTTCTTCTTCTTCTTCTTCTTCTCCTACTTGTTCTTCTTCTTCTTCTTCTGCTTCTGCTTCTTCTTCTTCTTCTCCTACTTGTTCTTCTTCTTCTTCTTCTTCCTCTTCTTCTTCTTCTTCTTCTTTTTTCTTCTTTCTATTCCTCTTTCTTGTCTTCCTGTCTGTTTACTGTCAGTTGTCATTTTCTTGTACCAGCATCAGAATGGAGGACCTACTGGGAGATCCCCTGCTTCGAAACGTACAGGGTACTTCTGTCAGGGCGAGGTGGAGGCCAATGAAAGGATTGTCCATTTAATTTAAGGAACATGTCTTGTAATATGCGTATAATATTAATATGATATGTAATACAGCGTTCCCAAGGAGAGTTCATTTTGGACCTACGTCCAGCCCCAGCCTTCCCTTCTCACTGTTTTACACATGTTGAAAGCCCAATTCCCTTTGCCAGCCTGCTCATCTCCAAACTTTTGCGTGGTCTCTGCCTTGTTCAGGCCCTGCAAGTCGCCATACCTCTTTTAACATCTGCTCTCTCCTTCATGGCTTGATGACTCAGTGTTTCTACTTCTTAAGCCAGCTAGAGCTAATGATGCTCATGGCTCGAGGCCAGCTCACGTTCGTTATAACCGTTAGGAGAACTCAGGAGAGAGACCATTTTGTGACAAGCCAAGCCGGAGCACATGCGCTCGTTCAGCTTCCAGCTCTTGGTGACCGGGATCCACAAGGCATCGAGCTCCTTGGAGTCGAGTTTTTGAGACCCCCCCGGGTGCGGAGATTCGCTCCAAAGGGCACTGCAAGGTTTGCCTATAGCTTGGTTGCTTGTAAGGTTCATGTGGCATTCTGTCAAAATGTGGGCTTGTTGAAAACTGTTTCTTTGGATAAGTGCACTTCACCGTGCATCTATGCATCAAAAGGTACCCAGAAAACTCATGGGAGTTCACATGTGTATCTTGGATGCGTGTATCACAATATATACATTATGTGCTATATTGCTGTCAAACTGATCGTATGATGATCTGCCCTTTAAAGGCATACACATACAATGTATGCGCATATGAGAATATCCGATGTATCCTACTCCACACAGGAAAATACCTCCATCGAAAACTAGACGAAGGAGATGTCTCGTCAGACCTGCTGTACCCATGATCCTACTTGTCGGATCGCCTATGGGGTGGCCAAGAATGTGGAAAGTGCAACACATTGCTCGCAAAATAGATTGTATCGGTCATGCGATCAATCTGTTCTACGTTTGCCTACATCACAAGCTGTATATATTCAAGCCTACCACTCTTGTCAGTCGTGTGGTGGAATGTTGAGGACGAAGTGTGCAGGCAGTTTCCCCGCGCCAAAATGGACAATAAGGGTTACAGTATAATGCACCCACCTTGTGGCGCAGCACCTGCTTTTGAATCTGAGGCACAAGCATTCTCGCATCTTGCAGATCCAAAAAAGTCTAGTGATATATATATATATATGCTTCTGTTTGCAGTAAGAAGCTCTTGAGATATCTAAAGAGGGCAGGCAAACTCAAGCGTCGACTGCAAAAAATAAAACAAAAAGAAAGAGCAGAAGTGGAAGAAAAATCGGACAAACAAAACAAGAAAGCCATTGGAAGTCTGAGAGAATCGGCAACCTGTCATCACCTGAACATCGAACAGCTGAACACAAGCCATGCATGTGACCCAACCCTTGTTTTATGCAAACATACATCTTAAGAGTATAATTGCATATAAAATGTGTATGTACATACTGCACAATATGTATGTATCGAAATATACCACTTGTGCGTCTTTACCTCCTTCTTGGTATGTACTTGCTTACATATACATGCACATAGAAAGTTGTATGTCTATGATGCTCATCCCCACAAGGTGGTTGGTCCTCCAGCGCCAGGTTCAGCGTCTTGATGGCTCTCTTCTGATAAGAGGTGAAGGCTATGTCCAAACCTTGGACAGTTGGCAAAATGATGCTGCCATTATTGAAAAGCTGTTCCTGCTGCTGGTTCTATCAATAACTTCTGGAGAACGAAAGCTTTTAGTTGCACGGAAGAACAGCTCTGGTTGGGGGGCATGGAATCAACAAACGATAGATTGTCAGCGCCGAAGGACACGAGGGTTTTGATGATTTATCATATTCAGAAGGCCTAATGAGTGTCCAAATGTTTGTCCCCAATCTTGTGTGTGTGTGTATCCATATATATATATAGGGTACGGTTAGCTAAAGTTTATAATGCACGGCTGTTGAATCCTCAGATTTGTGAGGCCCTTCTCGTTTCCCAATGTTTTGAACCGTGTTAAAGGGTATCGTTTTTGTGAGTCCCCTATCGTTTGCGAGGGTTTAGAGCATGCCTGCATATGAATGCAACACTCCTATGCAATCGTAATCATTGGCAAATGGTGTTGTCTTCATATATATATATACAGTATATTATATATCCCAATGACGGAATGATATCCAATGCATCTGCAATGTTGAAGGTCCTTCAAATACACCAGGCACATCATGTGTCCAGATCTCGTTCCACTCAACATAGCATGCTCTTTCTTGTTGGGTTGGGTGATTGACTGGGAAGCTGAGTCCGCATGAGTCATCTCAGCTTGAGGCTGATGTTTGCCTCGTGCATCAGCCTGCCAGCATTGATGGCTTCTTGAGCGCCCTTCTCCGAGACGTCCACATCCACCCAGCCTGTCCACTTCCGTCGGGCAATATGTCAAGCACCTACCGTCTTACAAGCTTTGCAAGTTTCATCGGCGCCCACATTGCACACGTTACATAGCTTTGTAGCAGCTGCCTGTAAAACGGTTTTCGAGGTTCCACTCAGACCTCAGATGGCAAGTCCCGCACTGACAATATACTAGTCTGCTCACAGAACTGGGGCATCCACTCTCCATGCCGAAGCAACACCAGAGTGTGGGTGCCATAGGTCTGCACAACATTCCCGCACGACAGAACAAAGCACCCTCGGGCATGGAAAATAACTTTGTCATGTGTCTGATGTGTTCCAACCACAGCTCATCCTGGGTAGTAGACCTACTCGTGGCCCACAGGAGGTCATCTGGTTTCATGGCAAGAAATGCTTAGCATGATTCTTCATATTTCTCATGAGTTCCTATCCCACAGCAACCAGCACAGGCTAAAAATGAAGACTTGGCAAGGTGCTTTAGCCGACTTTGTTAGCTACAGTAAAGAACTCCCCACCTCACAAGGTGCAACAAATCCATGTTCTGTGGATTCAGCTTGTCCAACGCATTTCAATCCAGCAAAAAGGCTACCCACCTCCCAAAGCTCCCCGACTTGTCAAGCCGATTGAGGCCTCTAAGGTGGACACATCGAGAGCTGTGACTCCTAGACCTGAGACGGTCTAAGTCGACAATCGAAAGCTCTGTGCAAATTCGCTGGACAACGAAAGCTTGGTTAGCAGCGGATGCCCAATGTCAAGCTGAAAGCGATAGCCTTGGCGGACTCCGCAATTCTTGTGGAGTTGCGATGAACGCGCCTACCGCATATGTTTTCCTGTCGTCTATGGCCTTCTGAATGATATCGCGATGCATGCCAAGGTGCAAAAATGGTGGCGGCCTGTCTCGCCCGGCGCTGGCGGCGCTTTTCCTAAGGCCATTGCCATGAGCCATAGTGGTCAAGTATGCCAAACACCTTCAGCACTATATAGCACTTTTTCAGCAGGTCCTGTTCACAAGTTGGCGCAGCCATGCCCATGTACCTGTTCAAACATGGGTTGACCAACAAGTCTGACAGGTCAAAAAAGACTGCCATGGAGCCTGGACAGTTTCAGCCAGGACAGTTTCGGCCCAGCTGGAAAGCCCGTGGCGACGGCAAGTTAGTGTGTCCATTTAGCTTGAATGGTACAGCTGAAAAGCCTGCCATACTGATATATATATATATACATATGGTTGACACGTGCCTCTAGTAAATATACTACTTGTCTGAACATAGCGTCAAGAAAAGCATGCTGAAACCGCCTGTCTGTCTTGAGTGGTGAGTTCCTTCCCACTGCCCACCGATCCACTGAAACATGGCATATGGGCCCGGCGCATGACCGCACCTTAACAGCATGCTTGCCTGTGTTAAGCTCACGCGTCAAAGCCGACTTTACCTGCAAGCCAAGGCTATGATTTAATGTCCACACTTGCATACCTGTCCTTGTCCCTAGCTCAACACAACAAAAGAAACACATATATCCGCTCTACTCTGATCGATTTCGATTGTGAGAACACGGGTGAAGCCGCCTTTGCATCCACTTGCTTGAACATGTCCTGGCACTAGACTGATCCAGTCTGCAGAAAGCACGGAGACTGCTAAATTGGTATGAGAGAGGACTTTAGAGCATCTTCTAGTTTCATTTCTACATGTTTCTGCAATCGTTCTTGGGAGGACGGCACATCCACATTCCACTCACACAACACTGGCACCTTCCGTGAACAGGAAGCGCTCCTGGCATCCAAGGTGTTGCCGCAACTCTGTCAGGTGCCTGGCAATACAGTACCGCCATGGAGCTGCTCATAAGAGTGATGGTTTTGAACCTAATAGCGATGTCCTCCAACCTAAGAGCTTTGGCCTCCATCATAATGGCTGCGGCTTCTACCATTGGTTGAGTTTGGAAATGGAAACCTGTCGTGGTTGCTCCACCAAATGCTCTCGTCGAAGCCCGTAGGCATCCAGCCGACCAACCTTGGGAACAACGAAACGCTTTCATAAAGCAAATCATTTTGGCCAAAGAAAAGCAGCTCTCCAAGATCTAGACCGCCTCCTTGATGTCGTTCTCCTTCAAAGGCTCAACCAAACGCCTCAATCCGAGCTTGCTAATCTGACTCCCCAAAACCGCGCACACGTTCGTGCGCCGCCTGTAGAGGAGTTCAGCATACGATGACGAAATCATGGCCTTCTTGGGTGCCAAAATCATGCGCATGCCGGAAGCAAAACCAGTAGAAATTGATGCTCATAGAAGAAAAAACGGTTGGATTACAAATCAGCCAGACGTGCCTGGCCATACACCGTGGAAGAAAGCCGCAAGTGCATCTGGCAACAGAGCAAGATCTGAGACTAGCTCCATTATCTTCATATAGCACAGGTTTTGTTCATGTCCTTTCTCAATCTTACTCATGAGCTTTCAATTTGTTCAAGCTACACTCGGAGCCCTGTTTCAATCAAACCACCATTTGCAGGTATCCAAGTCTTAGCTTACGGCAAATGGGCTTGAGAAACTCCAGTGGCTGCATGTTACAGCAACTACCTGCCACACCAGCCTGCAAGTCCATCATTTGTCTCCTCGAATCAAAGCTCCGCCATGTCAACACAATCTATTTGATCGCATGTTGTGGAAACGTATGCGTCCTGGATTTGGAAAGGGACGACATCTTGCCCAGCGCTGCTGGAAATGATGGATATCCCTACAAGCACAAGCCGCGCTTTCAGCATCTTATGCAATTTGTGGACTGGAACTGCCAAGTGCGCTGCCAGCATGCCATTTGAGACAAATGCTGGATAGGCACATGAGACGACCTGGGAATTTGGTTCAAAGATCGAAGAACTGACCGCATTTCCAAGATTCAACACCTACTGCATTTAAAGATTGAATTGAGAGCATCTTGGGAGGAAGGCCCCAGAATGTGGCAGCAAGCTCCACTCCTCAGCCAGCCAAGTCACATCAATCTTGTCTGCCACAGCCCTAGCGAGACTGCGAGATGTGCCTGTTCAGCATTGATGCGCTGCTGGAAGATATCACCTGGCCACAGCTGGATCAGAAAGCTTGAAAAAAGGAAGTTCTTGCTTTCCAATTCACTGTCTTAGCCTCCAGCCTACTGTCATGAGGTCTGCTGAGTAAGCACACCGACTCAACACTTCTAAAGTAGCCTTAAATGTCAGGAAGGTTTCACTTGCAAAGGAAGAAACTCCTAGCTCGAGAAGTGGAACAGTCCCTGCTACCCTGATTCCAAAGGCTCAGACTGGCTTCTTTTCCATTGACCGCAGGTAGTTCTCGTGAACCAGCCTAGGGGGGGTTCTTACAAGTAACTTCCTTTGCTTTCGCGGCTATTGACCACATGTCCTTGGAGGATAGAACTGAGCAATCCCAGTCTTTTCAGGCTATCCCAGTACCCAGGAGACTCACCGAAAACTGCGCATTCTCTACTCAGCAAGCCAGGCCCATCTTTGCAAGCTTGGCTTTCCAACATCAAACCGTCCTTCAGACCCGTTGGACAAATCAGATCTACAAATCCCCAAGCCTTGCACCAGAGACATACGGAGATGCACGAGCAATCTTGCACTGGAGTAACATCCTCACAAATTGCTTGAGCTCCCCGCAATCCAACCATTGAATAGTCCACGAAGAACCTTCATCAGAAGTTCATCAGAAGCGACAAATCGTGGGCTCCAAGTCTTCACTTGATTTCGATTGACCATGCTTTGAGTACCTCTACCTTGAAACTTCCGGTCTTCTATGGAAGCATCAGCCCCTAGGTCTTGAGTCCAAGGCAGCTTTTCTCGATCCTCAAAGCTAAGCCTCGCAGCCTGCCAATGGAATGACAAAACGTTGGAGTGTTTGCTCCAGGAATGTTCACCCTTCCAGTCTCTATGAAATAGAAAAGTGAGGGAAAAGGCTGGCGGCTAGCAGCTACCTTCCCGCGGCCCTTGTTTGGCCTCTGCTGTATTCAGCAACCTCCTGCACCTCGCTTGCATGCAAAGACTTTCAGTGGACATTCTCCTTGAAAACTTTGGAAGACCAGCCAGCAGGGCGCTTCGAAGGGGCCCAGCATCACTTCTTGATCTTTGCCTGGCGGATAAAGTTGTTGCCGCAAATGTTCAGTGTTGCTGTTTGTTATGTTCAGCCATGAAACTCAAGACTCAAAAACCACAATGACCTCCAAAGCTCTTGGCGCTTGACATGATCTGCAGTTGATTTAGCACCTGTCTTCAACTGAAATCATAATGGCTCAACAGCCAAAACACGGAGGAAAGTCCACACCTTTAAATCATAAATCCCCCTGCAACCGCCAACATTCCCCATCTCAGGTCGCTGCCACGCGTACATCCCCACCACAGGCTTCTGCCAAGGCCTTTCACGAAAGTTCTACTGATTAGCCTACGAAAGCTTTGCTGTGCGGAAAGCAGAATGTGAACCTCCAAGGAAGCAATGTCCACCTTGAGGCCCTGCTGCCTCGGTGCAAGTTGGAGTAAAGTTTAGCCTCACTATCTGATCACACAGCTGAGATGCTATGCACCCTGAACAGGTTTTGTGAGCTTCGCGCTATTCAAACGGAGTTTTCGGCGAACTCAAAACCCTTCGCGCAGGCCTTGCGATCTCGGCACATCGCTGTGCCACGGCATTCTTCGGGGGCCTCGAGAGAGCGCCATGTCAGAAGGCCGGATCTCATGTCAGAACGAAAACTTGACGACACTGTGGCCCGACACTGGAGTAAGATAGATATAACTTTAACACATATTTAAAGATAAGAAGAAATCTCTACAGGCACTGTGGTTGAAGTAACTTTACAGGTTATCTTAATCTCCACAGCTTCGCACATCCGACCACACGATCCCTGCAGAGGGTCACGTCTCAATGGACGCTGCCGCGCCGCCTTAAGGCACTTTGTAAAGAATGTCGAATTTGTAGGTGTTCTGTAGAAGTTTTGTAGAAGTACATCTATCGCCTGCGTCTATACACACACACATATGTCCATCTGAATCTATCCGCCTACATTATCTACACCGAGATGCACCTAAGTCTATCTGCGTACATTTGTATACACAAATATCTACAAACAAATATCCACACATCATCTTACCCGTCTTAACACATGATGGTGATACCACGATGATGATGATGATGATGATGATGATGATGATGATGATGATGATGATGACGAAGACGACGACATGACGATGAAGGTGATGATGATGAAGGTGATGATGACGAAGGTGATGACAAGGAAAATGATGATAAAGAGGATGAAGTTGGTACCTGGTACCTGGTAGCTGTTCCTTAGGGAGAACTCTTCGCAGGTGCTTTCGGGAGAAAAACAAAGGTAGGGCCCTTTAACAAAGTAAGGGTCCATTAATGAAAGGGGCCCGCATGAATAATCCGGCATTCCCATGACAAAGTCCTTTTTATGCTTAATGTCCTTAACTAGGAACAAGGACGCTACTAGTACTCCTGGCATCGCTACTAGGAACAAAGGGCATCGCTACTAGGAACAAGGATGCTACTAGTAGCTCTTAACCAGGGCCTGGTGAACTTCAGGTCGTAGCAATGAGACGCCAAGCTGCGCACCTTCAGGGGGGCCATCGCTCGCTCGCTTGTTCTTCCTCGCTGGCTCCCTTTTACTTTTTCTCTATGTCTAGCATTGATTGATATTGTTAGTACACTTGGCGAGAGAGAGAGAGAGGGAGGGGGAGGGAGATAGGGCTTGGGGAAATACAAAAGCTCGCTTGCAAAATGGAGCCAAATGAAGCTATCACAACGAGTGCTCACATCTCTGTGAAGCTTGCCTTCTGGCCATGCTGGTCATTGCAAATGCAAATGATTGGATTGCGAGTCCTAGGCTCTGCACATCTGTTGGTCCAAACTTGCACACATTGGGCCAAGCTGCCCCCAATGACAGAAGTTTGTGGATGACATCTGAGGCTTGCAATACGACCCGAGAAGCAAATCCAATACAGTAAATGAAATCTGACAAGTATTCCAAAACCAATGCTCCATGCTTTCTCCAAACAAACTCGAACAGGATAGGACAAAATCCTGACCCTGACCCTCCTGAGGGTGTGGCGTCTTGATCATCTTGATGAGGGCAGCATTGCCACCTTTGTCTCCGGCACCTGACTACAGGCGAGTATAGCAAGTGTGCGATTTCATGCTGACTGAAATCTATGGCCAGCAAAAAAACATGCATCCTTTGTGCAAACGAAGTGTGTGCTACCCTGCCGCAGCCTAACTACATAACCCGAACCTCATTAAACTGCGCGTGAAGTGTTCATGATCCCGCAGCTCTATGTTCTCCCAACACCACTTCAACAAGCTCTGCAAGCTCTGCGGTCCAGGCCCATGCCGTCCACCTCATCCATAATGATCACTGCCTTCCTGTCGAGTCGGGCACACGGTGTTATGGGCTTGTGTTGAAAAGCACAGGGGCCTCTTGCTGGTTCCTTGTCCTCACGGTTTCAGTATCACTCAAACACTGCAGAAAAGTGGTAGAAGCATCACATGTGACAAGTCCTGAAAAAGAAACCGTTGAGTTTTGCGCAATTCCTTCAGCCATCTCCTCGGCATCAATTCCATCCCATTACCAGCAACGGTAGATGACGATGGTTAGTACAGGCCTTGTTCAAAAATAGAAAAAAATGTCTACTGACTGCTACAGGTGTACTGGGACAAACACAATCCATCTGCATCTGCACTGTGAATCGCGGACTCTGTCCGGCCTGGATGACTTTCTGGCCCCTGGCGTCCGATGCATTGTACTCCAAGACCTGCAAATCCACACGCTGATCCGCTGCTTCGCAGTGCTTCGCAGTGACCCTGGTTGAGCCGCAAACCTTGTATCCACCATGCATTTCCGCCACCAGTCGACACGTTGTTGTCTTTCCAATCCCTGGAGGGCCACTCACCTCAATTGAACCAGCATTCCAGGGAACAGGACTTTCAGATCACTGAGCTCTGGGCTAGAACCGCGCGCGCCTAAGAGACGGCGTGACACTCTGTCCCACGGATCAACATGGATCATTCCCACAAGTCCTTCCGATGCACATTGACGTCCTGAGGCCGGGCACATTCACATTCTCAGCACCACCATTCTCTCGTCGGGACGACGCCTTCTTGCGACCGTGGAGCACTACATCTTCCCAATCGCGAAGCCAATCCGTCAGCCGCTGGGCGGCAGCATTGTTACCGATCAGCTGATCCAGCTTGTAAGGCGCAAAAATGTCAACCCAGTTGAAAGGACGAGAAGAAGACTCTTGAGACGAGGGCTGAGACTGAAAGCTTGGGCGGACATCCTTCTTCACCTTACTTGGAAGACTTGGGCTCTCTACTGCGGGCAACATCTTCAAAAAGTCTGCTTCCCGTAGCACTTCGGCTTGTACCTTCCCTTTTGCCCTCAAGTCAGAGAACCTCTGATACTTCGTAGAATCCTCTGCTGGCCTGCCATCTGGCATTTTTCCACCAAGCACCAGGTATGAGGTCCGTTGTGAGATGGCGAGCCCTACCTTTCCTCCAGCAGTCTCTATTCTGCGGAGAACTTCTTCTTGTGGAATCGAATCCAAATCGGTAGCGAAACAAAATATCTTGCCTGTCAAGTCCAACGATGCTGCTACTTTGGGGGAAGCAGCAGTCATCGCTGGTGTAGATGCCATGTTTCGGAGAGGCGTCACCACGGATTGACCTGACACAGGGGATCCATCCGGAATTGATGCTGGTGTACCTTCCAAGGTCTTTCCAGTCGGAGCGGACTCCACAGCCTTGGGCACCTGTTCAACCGCTTTCGGTTGATCATTGGTAAATTTGAAGCTCCTCCGGTTCACTCTCCGTGATGGCGGATCCATTAAAGCACAGGCTCCAAGGTAAGAAAGTATGTGCTTGATGCTTTGACTTCATGCAGTTCAGAACTGAATCTACAAATCAACCCACCAAAGGGACACCATGCGCAAATTCTTATGGAACAAGTTCTATCCATCCAACAAGGCGTTTTTCATGGCAGTTCCATGACCACTTGCTCATCTGCAGCATGTCATCCTTAAGCCTAAAGGGACTAAAGACACTGCCAAATCACACGCACCTGTGTGCACCTCTTCCGTGCATTGCAGCATCTGTCACTTCACTAATCTTCATTCCTAATCTGTTCCAGCTAACAGGTGAGCGCAAGATCCAGTGCAAGGTGTGCAAGGTCCTCGGTGCTCAGTTCAGCTCGAAATGGTATGGGCGATAAAGCGCCAGCAACAACTCCTGGCAATCAATTGGAACGTGGCAAGAGCGGGGTGGCGACATAAGCAATGCTTCCTCACGGGAAGCTTCTCCCGCCATCAATGAGAGAAGCTTCCTTGAAGAGCCCCTCGGACCCTCGCTGTAAGAAACAATACAGTAGTCGTTGTAGTGTAGCGCAAGCCCAACGTTGCACTATCCAACGAAAGAACTATCGAATCTCCAGTCAATGATTGTTTGGGCAGGTGTTCACTGAAAAATAAGGTGCCCTAAGGAACCTGAAACAGTGGGTGAAAGTAAGGAAAACAAAGCTGAGTGCAACGCGGTCCTTTTCCTCTATGCTTGTGTCACATGAAGTGCCTTGTGTCGTACCTAGGTCGGAGTTCTTGAGCCACCGGCAATGGTATTGAATCTGTACATGTATCGAGTGAAGCGAAGACTGGAAGCCGCTTCGACCTGCCGCAACTTCGACTTGGCTGGCAAAGTCTTGACTGGGGACCATCTGGAACATACCTTTCGAGTCGGGTGTTTCCTGTTAGTTGGTAAAATCATGTGTCCCTAGCCGGCGCCCAAGATCTCGGACCGAATTCCTAATTGAAGATCAGACCTCAACTCTGCTGAGGAGGATGGATCTTCACGGCATGCTTTCGTTCGAAAGTGCCTTTCATGCATTCAAGTAGCGCAGCTCTGTCGATCTTGCCTTTGGTAAGGCCGTCTGCGCACATGTCACGGGTGTCCACCCACCCGATGCTCGTGAGCAAACGAAGAGAAAGCATCTGCTTCAGCCACGCTACATGGCTCATCAAAGATTTCTCACTTGGTGATTTGTGATTCTCTTGTGTGACTGAATGATAAACGGACATTGCATCGAGATACAGCCGCGCAAGAATCTTCAGTCCACCCTGCTCTCGAGTCTCTCTCGCCCTCCACGCGTTCAAACAACCATGTTTGAACTCATGAAGAGTGAGAGCAATGCCAAAGGCTACATCCATAGCAGAGGTTGCTGCTAAAAGCTCGGCTGCATACGTTGATCTCACCACAAGTTTATGGGACTGAGAAAGGGACTCAATTAGGTGAGATGTCAAACGGCCGTGCTTATTCTTACCTAGCCTCAAGCATACCATTCCTTTGAGCGAATGAGCTGATTCGCCTTCTCGAGAAAACGCGGAGTCAGAATATATTTCAAGAATACTCAAGTCCTCCATGGATTCATAGCGAAGCCTCTGTGGGCGTCTCATGAGTTCACGAGTCAGTGCATTCAATCTCTTCAGGTCAGAAATAGTTGCCTGCTTATTTCTGCGCTGCAAAGACACAATATAAACGAGTACCCAAGGCTGAGTCAAGCTAGTGTAGGCAACTGCTCCTAAGAGTGACATGAACAAAGCCTGCTGGTGCTCGTTGCAAAGTGCATCTCGGTCGTACCCCTGGTAGTGTTTGGGGTGGATCGTTTTGAAGGCACTGATGTATTCATCCTGATGCATCTCTATGGATCCATCTGCTTGTCTCTCGTGAGTTGTGCCACAATTGGTGAATTTATCATACTGTGCGGTTAGTTTTCCAAAAGTGGCCTCTAGGAGTTGCATGAGTTTATCTACTTCCTTACGGACTCCAGTAAACTTAATGTCATCCACATGTATCGAGATAACAAGAACTAATGTTTCCCCTTTGAAAAGCAACATCAGCTGATTATCATACAGGGTTGACTGCATACCAAGCTGTCTTAACAACTTCATCAACCTAAGTGAAAAAGCTCTGGGAGCGTCCCTGCAACCTGTTCCTGGCTTCAAGCATGCAAGAACATGCTTGTTTTCATCAAACTGCTCATAGCCTGGGACGCATCGCAAATGTTTTGCAGTTCCTTTCGGAATGGTGAAAGCGATGCTCTTCTTTGGTTCATTTGTCAATTCTTCCAATTCATCGAATGTCAGCCCTTGAAGAAAAGCTTTTGGCGCGTCAGCAGCACCGAATACCCAGTCGGGCTCCGTTGCTGCTGCGCTTGCAAGAATCCTTTGTGAAAGCCGCTGAGCAGTACCTGCAAAGGTCTGCTCACCGTCCTTCACTGGCTCTTTGAAACCTCGCAAAGCCATTCGTGCCCTAATGCCTCTTTTTCCTTCGATGTACTTCCATTTCAGGACCATTCGAGAATCAATGATTAAAGGTGCATGCCTTCTTTCAACCATCTTGAAGCAACTATACTTATCCCAAGTTTTGTACTCTGAGATGATGGCTTCATCAAGTTCCTTACGGTGGGTGATCTGTTCTTGGGGGGTCATGATATCTGTGTCACGACTAATGACTTCTTTCTTCGCTTCTGAACCCAAGTACATCCTTACGAGTAAAGGTTGGTTTGCATGCTCCCTTTCTGAAAAGAAGATTGACAATTCTGGATCTATTTGGAGTTCGAGGTGAGGTCCTTCAGCGTCATATTCTAGTGAGTCTGGGTGAGTCATTTCGCTTAATGCTAAATGCACCTCGAAATCAAACGGATTGGTCTCTTGTTCAACCGGTGGAAATGGGGATTCAAAGGAAAATTCATCTAAATATTGTGTCTCTGGATCTTCCTTTATTGCAATTTCACACAGTTCTAACAAGAGTTGAGAATATTCTTTCGGGGCTCCGTCAAAATGTTGAAGAAACAAGACTTCGGCTTCGGATGAGACTTGACTATTGGTGTTTTCTTCTTGGATAGTGCTAAGTCTGGATGCTGGTGATCCATGACCTAATGGAGCCCTGTGTTCATCTGTTTCTGCTGGCTCCCGAATAGGAAGAGTGTCCACGACATCTTCCAACGAAAAATCGTGAGTGTGATCGAGACGGAAACATTGCATGACTGCAAAATGTGGCTGCTGTTCTCCAAACACCTTGGAGATGTGTACTTTAGCATGGTCTGACTGATATAGACTCATGTGGTCTGGATTCTGCATATCCCAGTTGAAGACAATGTTGATCTGAGGGCCGGACTGTCCTGGCAGTTTGGTAATGTTCCTTCCGACCCTGGCTGAACAAACATCGAACATCTGGAAGGATGTCCTGATGATGTAATTCAAGGCATGTGCGACTGACGGCCATTTCCTGCTAGCCTGGGTTACAACTTTTATACCCCAAGCATCTTCAATGATGCCGAACAGTTCTGTGCGCCTTTCAGCCAAAAAGTTCAAGAATGCGTGAGTCGTATCAAGCGCTCTCTTCGAGTTGTCTGGATGCGCAACTCCGTACAGTGTCACAGCGAACATGGCATGGCGAACATCCTGAATGCGATATGGCCGATTGATGCCATTGATCCTTAGCACGATGACACCGTCATGAGCTCTGGATTCTACCACTTGATAAGGTCCACTCCACCCTGAACTATCTTTATTAGTAGGGGTCCTATATAGTTCAACAAGGTCATCAACTTTGAATCGGTCTTCTGCTGTTAGCGTCGTGGGAACTTTCAATGCTCTAGTCACTCTAGCTGCACTAGTAGCACTAATCATACTTTGTAGTGCTATCTCCCGTATCCTGGCTTCTATTCGGTCGTTCATACCTGGATCATCTGTGATGGGTGGCAGCATACTAGGCTGTCTTCCTAAAACAACATGATACGGGGTTGTGCCACCTACGTGGGTTAAGGAGTTGCCACAGAACACGCACTGTCCTAGCAAGTCCTTGAAAGTCAAGTCAATGCCCTCTCGAACAGCTTGACTGTCCGTGACGTGCAAGGCTTGGCGCAGAATAGCTCCTCTGCGCTCCACATATCTTGCGTGCTGCTCCTTTCCACGCACTTTGAGAATGACTCCCAGTCTCTTGAGATGCGCCTCTGCTGTGGCACTGTTCAAACCTGATTCAGGATCGGTGACAAGGGTTTGCATCGGTCCAAAGATTGAAATCCATGCTGTCGATATGTTCTCAAGGAGTTGTGCTTCTGTCGGCAGCATGCCATCTTGAAGCTCTACAAACAAAATGATGGATGATGAATTCTTTGTAGAACATCAAGTCCGTTTCCACAACTTCTCCAAAAGACATCGCGATTTCAACAGCAGGTTTAGTTTCTCTTGGACGTGCTGCACACATTCTGCATTCTTTGCGTGTTGCGATAATGTTAGGAATCAAGTCTAAAACACTTTGGGGGACACCTGCATTCCTGAGGATTGATTGCATGTTTGATACTCCTGCATGCCATAGTCTTAAATGAATCTTTCTGAGGGCTTTGAGGACAGTAGGTTCATGATTGCTACGCAGTGCTCTGAGACAATGGGTGATGTCATACCTAGTCCAGTCTGAGGGGTGAGGATCACCTACCCCAGCCTCTCGATAAGTTCTTCTTTCGCGTTCGACTAGGTCAGGTCCTCGCCCTGGTCGATCTGAGCTTGAAGCAGGAGGAGGTGCTGAAGCCGCAGCTGCTGATGGGTCCGCTGGCAACAGATCGGAATCATCAGGCAGCTGTGCTTGAGCCTCTCTTCCTGGTACATCTCTAGCTCTTTCCATCGGCTGACGGGGATGTCTGCCAGTTCGGGGAACACCCTGCCGGTGAGGAATAATGGCATGTTTGCAATCCGGGCCATAGGTATGGCTATCATGAGATGCAGGTCTATGTCGTTGACATCCAATACAATCCCAAGAAACTGTTTCTTCGTCTGGCCAT